CTTAGAACAGCAGCATGGCTAGATCCAAGAGTATGCACAATTTAGAAACTTTTGGGGTGGAGTTCCAAATTGCTTTCTGGAATGAAACTTTGCATTAATATATCTGCTTTTCCGCAGACCTTCTAACAATTGTCATTTTGTGTTTTTGTCAACTTTGAAAATCTAATAGGTGTAAAGTAGAAGCTCAGAATTACTTTAATTTGCATGTCTCTAGATGTCAGTGATTCAGAGTAATTTTTCATATCTCTATTAATAGCTTTGATTTCTTCTGAAAAACACCTTTTAAAATCCTTTGATGATGTGTCAATTGGGGATTGTAAGACTGAATCAGTTCTCAGTATATCTTGGCAATGAGACCTTCATCAGAAAAACTAGTAATTTTTTCCTCAGCTACCTATTTCTATTCTAACTTGAACTGCATTAGCATTGTTTGTGCAACAGCTTTTAAATTTTATATAATCAAAATTATCTTATTTTCTGTGTTCTTCTCAATCCTTTGGTCATGAAGCCTCCTCCTATCCACCAATGTGAAAAATTTGCTTATAATGTCAGTATTTATGCCTATTTTGGTATATGATGTCAGATACAAGTCTATACATAGTTTCCATTGGACTACTTGCCGTTTTTCCCAGTAGTTTGGATGAATACTTAACTCTTACTCAAGGATTTGGGGTGTTTGGGTTTATCAAGCACTAGGTTACTCTGTTCATTTATTTTTCTATATTGTATATTTAATCTGTTCAACTGATTAAATTCTCTATTTTTTTTTAATTAGTGCCAAATCATTTTGATGATTACTGCTCTGTAGTTTGAGATTAGGTACCACTAGACTCTCTTCATTTTTAAAAATTATTTCTGTTGAGATCCTTGACCTACTGTTCCTCCAGATGAATTTCATTATTATTTATTCAAGCTTTATAAAACAATCTTTTGAAAGACTGATATGGCACTAAATAAATAAATGCATTTATACTGCATTGTCATTTTTATCATATTGGCTCGCCCTACCAATGAGCAATGAATATTTCTTCAATTATTTAAGTCTGTCTGTATTTGTGTAGAGTATTTTATAGTTACATTTATATAGTTCCTTACTGTCTTGTCAGGTACATTCCAAAACACTGCAGCTATTTTAAAAGAAATGTGTCTACTGTTTATTGGTTTAAAATAATAATTAGGTGCAAAATAAGAAAATATTGCCTTGAAGGCTCTCCTCAAAGTATATCCCATGCACAAATTAAAATTATTCAAGACTCTTTGAGAGGTGCAGTTAAGGGAAAAAAATGTTCAGCAACTCACAAGAATAATGAAATTAAGTGGTGTAAAATATGGAAACGTTATCATCTAGGTTGGTAATCAGTGTCACTGAAAACATTCTACAGATTCCAAATGAAAGAAGAACTTTCTAATAATAGCTAGATTCTACAAATGTTCCTATTCACAGATGACATCTAGAACTTATAATAATAGTAGTACTTTAGTAATTTAATTATATTGATATGTAAGTATACTTATATACAATTAATTACATTAATAATTATTTAGTACTTTAAAGTTTACACAGTATTTTGTGATATTAATTACAAGAAGCCTTGAAATACTACAAACTGCCTTCAAGAAAATCCAGTTAGAGAAAGAAAGAGAGAGATTTGTCCAAAATTTTTATTAGAAAAATAAAGTAAATAAAAATATTTTTGATACTATTGTATGCTGCTTAATGGACCACATGATCTTATTATATATGAGTTATACCTTGGACAGATGCTTTGTCAGACTCACTTGCCTCCTTGGTGCAGCCAAACCAGTAATTAGGAAATGTTTCACAAAGTAAATAAAAACACAAAACAACAAAGACAATGTTAGTGTGTTGTTTTTAAGTCAATATGCGACCAGCAGGGATCCAATTCTGCTCTGAGTTTGATATCCTTGCTTTAGATGAGACACAGAATTAAACAAGATTGAGGAGGTCATAGAAACCCCGTTTTCCTTCAAAAGTGCAACTCAAGCGTGACCATCTACACAAAGCCTTTCCTGTCCCTTCTCCTCTCAATCCTCCAAATGACACTGTCATCTGGAACATAGCAAACCCTTAATAATGCTCTATCGATCTATCTCTCTATCTTTATTGTATTATCTACTTAGTATTCATGTATTTTTTGTTCTTATTTGTTCTGTTCATATATAATGAAAAGTAATATATGTATGGAACATATATATGCATGTACATATGCATATATGTGTGTATTTGTCTTCCCCAACAGAATACAAATTCCTTGAGAATAGTGATAATTTCATTCTTTGTATTTTTAATCCCTAGCAGCACTTAGAACAGTGTCTGGAATGCATTAGGTTCTTAATAAATGATTGCTGATTGGTTGATTATTTCAAATCAGATTGGATTGTACTTAGATAACTATAAACTACTTTCAGCGATGCCAAAAAGCCCACTGCCACAAAAGCTGATCTCCTTAATACCAGCACATTTTCCCAGTGATGCTATAAATCATGAAATGTCATGATCTTGGAAGAATCAATGTTACAAATAAATTAAAGGGAAACACAAATATGTATGGTGAGTCTAAGTAGGCTATAGCATGTTACCAATGACAACTTATACATGAGGAGTGGCATTAAAAACATTAAGGATGTCTATGGCCAGAAAAAAAAGTGAATTGGGATAAGGAGACAGAAAGAGGTGAGCAGTTCAAACGCTGCATTTGCTCTCTCAATGGACTAAACCACTGAGAGCAGGGGTTCTTACTGGGTTTTTTTTTTTTGTATCATGGATAACTTTGAGGTTGAGTTGAAGTCCACAAACCCCTTTTCATGACAGTATTTTAAAAACAGAAAATAAAATGCATATGATTACAAATGAAACCAATTATATTAAAACACAACTTATCAAAACATTTTTAAAATTCATAGAGCCCAGGCTAAGGACATGACTTGGAGTAAGAACATATAGATTCTGTTCTCCCTCAGTTTTTCCTAAAGGACTTCATGTACATATCTTTTTTTTGGCACTGATACTCTATTCAATGTCTGATACCTGTCTGATTATCATTGCATCCTTGAAAACAAAATTTTCATTTTTGTATTCCCAGTATCTAGGCAAAGTATCTTGTGCATAATAGAGAATTAATATATGATTATTGAATTCAGAAACCATTTTTAAGGTATTTTGCAGAGATATGGACAAAAATTACACAGGTTAGGAAGTTATGACAGTAGGTGGCTCAATGAGTAGAGTACTGGGCTTGGAGTCAAGACGATCTGAGTTCAAATTTGGCCTCAGACTCTGACTAGATATGTGACCCTAAGGAAGTCACTTAAACCTCTGTTTGCCTCAGTTTCCCTATCGGTAAAATGGGGATAACAACAGAACCTACCTGCTAGGGATGTTGTGAAGATTACATGGGATAATAATTGTAAAGCAGTTAGTATAGTGACTAGCACATAGAAAGTGCTATATAAATGTTAGCTATTAGCTATTATGTAGGGATTATAATTGTGACCCAAAATGGTGAAATGATATCATGCTTGATCCATCAAAATGTGAAAGGCAAAAGAAAGGATTTTCTATCATAGAGTGAAATGAAATTCTCTGAATACCTTAAGGGAAAAATTATTTCTGGGTTTCAAAAATGTTAAATTTATTGGTACATTCACTGGTTTCTAAGAGGTTACTATGTAACCTCACCCATTTTTCCTAAGGACATTTCTAAAACTATATCTGTATTAGATTCTATATGGGTGGCCAAAGTATCGTAGTGGCTTACTACATATTTTCTAATTTTAATACACATCTGATATTGAATTTTGAAAACTGTTTTTAATCTATCTTTAGAAAATAAAGTAATTTATTTAAACCAGCAATGTAATTTTTAAATTCCAAAATTAAACTTTTTCAGGAGAAAACATTTTTTGTCCAATTGGAGCTACAAAATATTTGTTGATTTTTCCAATGTGCTTTAGACACTCACCTTTTTTGGTCAGTTCCATTTATGTTTTCCTAAAAGTTTCAGCCTTTCCATGAATTTCTATACAACCTAACAATGGGGACATTTGTACTTTACTGAAGCTAACAGAATTTTTTAATCCACAATTTCTCCACATACTTAAAGTATCTATGACTCAAGAAAGGCAAAGTGATACGGTTTTGGTCATTTCTTTGTTGTTTTACATTTGTTTGGATGAGCTGATGCTGTTTTTAGTCACATTTGCTTTCTGGCAATAATTCATCCCATTAGAGAAATCACATAGGACAAGTACCATAAAAATTATTTTAAATACTGATTGTGGCCATTCTATAATCTTGACAGAAACAGTGCTAAAGATGCAATTATCTAGTGTTTTCAAAGTCTTGATGCATTCAGAAAAGTGACTTAACATATGTTTTGGGCCAAATTTTCAATAACAGCTTCTAAATCTGCAAGCCTGTGTTTTGGCTGTGGGCACCTTTCAGGCCGCCAGGAACTTCAGCTGATGAACATTAAGAGCCTTACATGCATCCAAAAATGGTAATAATCACATATTAAAACATGAAGTTGAAAAATTTCTGTACCTCCCACATGACTCAAGTGGCACAAAGTGATAGGTAGCTAAGATTAACGTTGGTTTGGGGGCACATATTCTATGATATATACTCACACTCGAACTCATCATCAAATATGAGATATAAATCTAGTGGGGAAAATGAGGTAGAACTGTGGGAGAATAAGGTAGAACTACATGGGAGAAATTAATTCTGGAAATATACATTACCTTGTGAAGGTTTTTTTTAAAAAGTAAAGGAAGAAGAAATAAAAGGCTACCATTTATTATACATTTATATGGTGGTGAATAATGATCAGCCTCTGCGCACAGAACTAAAATAATGGTAGCGTGTTCCAGAAAAATCTCTAACATTAGTTTTTCTTCAGGAAGTTTTCTCTGCCGTTGCTTAGCAAACTGATGTCTTCTAGAATCCTCTAGGAATTTTCCATGGTTCTTTCCAAGAACTTCACAAACATCCAAATATCTCCCTGGCTGTGATATGTAGGTTCCCAACCATACAAACCAGAATGAGACTCAACCTCTCCTTATAGAATACCTGACTCTCTTCTGTATCATGGTGTGCTGCTGTTACAAAGGTCAGCCCAGGTGCCAAGACAGAAGTGTACCTTTTACCTGCATCATCAGGCTCCTTCCACAAATAGATATAGTTGTACTCAAGGCCAGAATCCTATATCACATGATCTTTCTGGAGATTGGTTGTATACTTGCGCTTCTTGGTGACCATGACCTAAACTTTATCCTTTCTTCCCATTCTTATGCCTCCATGACTAAAGTTAAGTTATACTTTGAGTGAGGTAGGTAAAACGCATACAACATAAAAGACCTTCTGTGTCTCAGCATTACTAGGTGGTTTGCTTCTTTTGTGGAACTCTAAACCCTCTAAAGCATCTACAACGGACCAGCAGAAATGGAGCAAGATTGCTGGTAGTCTCCAACAACCCTGTGGCCTCAAGGCAAATCACCTAATCACTCCAGGTCAGTTTCCTCATCTCTAAAATGAGAAAATTGGTCTAAATTATCTCTGATGCCACTTTAAGTATTGAAAGTCTATGATTCTAAGGGATTCTGAGTCACATGAGCTCTCAGATTAAGGTGATTAGAGGAAGTATTAAGTCAAATGTTATCCTCCAGATTGAACACATGATTGGTAAGCCTTAGCCCAGTGATTTCCAGCCTTTTTCAGTATTAGGTAGTCTTTTTAATGTCCAAGTGTTCACAAACTCTGATCTTAGCTATTCTGATGAATAAGAATATATATACATATATATGACTGGATATAATAATAACAATAACAACTAACATTCATATAGCACTTTAAGGTTGGCAAAATATTTATATGATCTTCATATTTTGTGAGGTAAGTGCTATTATTACCTGAAATTATAGATAGGAAAACTATAGCAGAGAGTTGATAAGTGTTGTATACAGTACCACACAGTTACTAAGTTTTAAAAGCAGCATTCAAACTTCGATCTTCCTGACTCCAAATCCAAAGTTCTATCAACTACAGCAAGCTGCCTTTGGATATGGCAGAGAGCTTGGGAATCTCAGTTCTAGATCTCAGATCTCTAACTTTTTTTGTGATTAGGAACTCCTGGACAGGATGGCAGACATGTAGGGATAATGTGCTAATTAGGAAATTGTTAGCTTATGGTGAGCGGGCATTGCCAGTAGACTGTATCCAAGTTCACCTGTTTGAGTATGTTCAGAAATGCTTAAAGACCATAAGAGTTGTATATAGTCAAAGTCTTTAGTCTTATGATCAATCATACTCTAATCTGTTATTGCTTGGCTGATTACGAACCCATGCCTTACACAGAATGGCGGCTTTGGAAAAGCATGAGGGTACTCTGTGACATAATGCTATAGAGTCAGATGAAAATGGAAGCCAAGCAGTTAGAAAGTAATAGCTATGAATTTATAAAGAAATTTGAATTCTCTTATGATTTTCTTTTGCTAAGTTATTACAAGAAATTACCCATTCATTCAGGAAATATTTACTGACCATATCGTAGATGTTACAGGGATCTTAGCAGCTTTGAGTAAAAAACTGCTATGGGCCTCTGAGTAGAGGGGGAGTACTAGGCTCTATCTCTCACCAGTTGCCATGTGTCTAAGAATACATGGTACTTTTGTTTCTTTTCTCTTTTTGTGTTTATTCTTTCCTAATCTTGCGTGAATAAGTTATCTAGAGATTAAATGGTCAGGTTACAACCTTGTGAGCTTCAAAAGGTAGAGAGACTCACAAAACTTTGAGCAACTGGGGGTGGCAGCAGAATCTCGACAGGACCAAGAGCAGTATTGTCCAGTTAGAAGCTAGCCCTGAGGAGTAACCTGGTTGGCCCAGTCAGCCCAGCACAAATCAAGAAAGCAGCTAAGACACCATGTCCTTTTATCAAGAAGGTGCCATACACTGAAGCAAATCTGGTGGTGACTCTAGAAAAGGAAAAAAAATGGATTCCTAGAACCATGAGGAAAAAGAGTTATGATAGCTTTGTCCAGGAAGATTCAAGAGTGGCTCTGTGCAGAATCATGAGGATGGACTAGATTACAATTTCCAAACCAATGAGCGGTGATACTTGATTACATTACAAAAAATGTCTTTAGTATTTTGAGGCATCTTCAGTCACTTTCCCAATTTTTGAAAGGAAGGGTGGTGTGGTAAGGGTGATACAGACAAAGGATGACTATTGGGGTGTATTTTTATATAACAATACCCACTTTACATCCATCTAATAACCATGCTGCCTCCTACTTCACCTTCTCACAGCTAGAATTTGACTCCAGGACCTGCGACCCTGTCCCCTGACTAGTGAATTTTTACTTTATCTTTCTCAGTCCTGGGCCACCATGCCACTTCCTGGCCATCTCCAAGCCACTTTCCACTGCCTCCTCCTTCTAACTCTTGCTCTCCTACATGTATTGTCTTCCCCAGTAAGAATATAGGTTCCTTATGCTATCTATCTTGCTTGTATTTATAACTCTAGCATTCAGTAAGTACTTAATATGCTTTTTTATTTATTCATTAATTTATAAAACCAAAATAAAATATAGTCTCTTTCTTTGTGAAGCTTGTAGGTCAGCAGAATAAAGGAAACATACACATATACAACAGTAATGAGCAATACAATATGGAAAATAATAAACAAATACATGGAAATTCAAGAGAGAAAGATCAGTTCCTGCTTTGGGATCAGGGAAAGTGTCATGGAGCCATTTGATATGGACCATGAAATGTAAGTATGCAAACTGAAGCAAGTTTTGACATTTTATTTTACAAAGACACATGATGTCTTTCCAAAGCATTAAAGAGATTTAATAAAGGCAGATTTAACTTTTCCACTCTACAAAACAAACAAATCCCTTTCTGCTGAATTAATATCACATAAAAGCCTTTTCTCTTTATAGACTAATGATATACAAAGTATGCCAAAAATATAATAAGCAAAAAACTATGTAGCACTCTTAGAAGTTTTAAGTGATTATCAAATTTATGTGTCATCTCTAAAACTTTTGCTTCATCTCACATCAGACAACTGCTCAAGTTAACTTGGCATGTTAAAATGTTGTCAAATATGGTATCAGCTCAACAACCAAGTCAGAAATTGTCAGTATTAAGAAAAGACTTCAGTAGTTTAAAGATTGTTTTAAAAAGTAAATGCTAATCAATTAAGACATTTCTCATGGTTCAGTTGACCCAAGAAATCAAGGCTTTTAAGTACATTTTCAAGTACATAACATTTTTCTCCGTATTCCTGGTATCTCCTATTTTTCACAATCAGATAGATCAACCGGCACACGTATACATTGAAATGTATCTCTTGCCCAGGACAGTAACTTTCAGAAGATACAAAGATCCACGCAACAAACTGCCATCTTAAATATGAGTTTTTTCAGGTGGGGAAACATCTCTCAATATAAATTTTCAAACCTTCTTTCCATCAGAAAAGGAAAACTATGTGAACCAAGGCATTTCCCCTTTTATTTTATCTGTCATAAATGTCAAGAGTTCAGTGTCTTGTTCTCATAAACAGGTAAAAGATACCTGATGGCCTCTTCTCCTTTATGCTGATACTCTTGTGTTATCCCTACATTTCTTATTTTATGCTGTGGTTTATCTGTGTCAAGCTCACTTGGAAGGCAAAAATCATCAATTATAACTATTACAAAGGAAATACAAACAAAAAGACAAATACCTCTATAAGTAAACTTTGGCTGTGTCTAAACATTCTCAAAAGAACTGGATGATTTAAAAAATTCAAGACTGTACTATTTGACTGCTATAACTGGTAGCAATCTTAGAAGTCTTCTTATCCAAACTCTTCATTTTGTGGCTGAGGAAACAAATGCCCAAAGAAGTAAGTGTCTTTGCTAAGATTTGAAAACAGTTACTCAGCCGTCGAATTAAAGGATGGGCCACAAAAACTTCAGCCGAAAGACAAGACACAGTCCTTTTCTACAAGCTCATAATCCAATTTTACAAAGTTACAGCTTCCCTTGTAGCTACATCATGAAAACTTAACTGAATAACTACCTGCTACACAGAACTTTTCCTCAGCTTTTCTATTCACAGTGTGCCCCTTCCCACCCAGACAAGTCAGAGAGACATCACATGTTCTTTGTCTTCAGTTTCAAATGATCTACCCTTCATACCATTACCAGATTATTTTCTCTTTGTACAGATCTGATCATATCAATCCTTTCCTCAAATCCTTTTTCTTGTCCCCTTTTTTCCATATGAACAAGATTCAAACTACTTAACCTTTCTCAACCTGGCATTACCCTCCCTCTGTCCAGGGACTTGCCATGTTCCATCACATATTGAAAGTTCCAACCTAAATGGACCACTCACTATCTCCATCCCAGAGAAACCTTATAAGAGGCAGCTAGGTAGTACAATAGACAGAAAGCAATGCACTTGGAGTCAGAAGGAGGTGAGTTCAAGTATTTCCTTAGACACTTACTGTGTTATTCTGGGTAAGTCACTTAACCTCTGTTTCAGTTTTATTATCTGTAAAATAGGGATAATGAGATCATTTACCTTCCAAGGTTGTTGTGAGAATGAAACAATAATTGTAAAGTGCTTTGTACAGAGCCTGGCACATAGTGTTATATAAATGTCATGTTTTTGCTGCTGTCTTATTTATCTTTTTATTTCCCACAACATTCAATACAGTGCTCTGTAAGAAGTAGGCCCTTAAAAACTATGGAATTGAATTTAACACATTTCAAGTGAAGTTTTTATGTATAATTTAAAATGTATGTTAAAATGCACATTATACAGTTTATTTGATTAATTAGCATGAAGTAGAAACCACGTTATGTGCATAGTGTAAGCTTCTTAAAGGCAAAGACTGCTTTTGCACAGTGCCTCCCATACAGTAAGTTTTTTTAAAATATCTGTTGATAGGTTGACAACAGGATCTGGTGCTACAAACAATTATTTTATTGAGGTTCTCCTGTAAATTATCTGTTGCTTTGAACTGGTACATGGTAGGCACTTAATAAATGTCCGGTGACTGACTTTCTATAATTACTATGTGATAGACTGAGAGGCACAAGAAATACATTAAACCTCATTATTTACTCTTCCAGCTTCCTTCTCGTCCCTCACTCCTATATCCATTCCCCACACAGATGTCAAAATAATCTTCCTTTAGTATCTGTATGACTATGTTATTCCCTTACTTGAGAACCTTCTGGGGTTCCCTGTTGTCTCTAAGATAGACTAAAAATCCCTCAGCATGGAATGTAAATCCTTCACAATCTAGCATCAACCAACCTTTGCAGGCTTATTTTTCACTAAACTCCATACACTCTGCATTCCACCCCAACTGGCCTGCTTGGTGGTACTCACTTCTGCCATTCCATCTTTCACCTCCATGTCTTTGCATGGGTTATTCTCACATGGCTAGAATTTACTCCTTCTTTATCTCTACCTAAGTTCCTTCAAGGTGTCATGCCTTACAAAAAGACTTTTCAGATAATTCTCTCCATCCTCAAATTATTTTCTATTTACTTACATTCTATTTGTATTATCTCTGTTGCATGTAAGCCCTGTAAAGCTGGAACTTTTTGGTGTTGTTGTCATTATTTGTTTTTCCCTTGTATCCCAAAAGCCTTATGCACCAGCTTATATATAGTAGGCACTTAATAAATGCTTGTAGCATGGAACTGAAATCTCCTTCATTCCTCTCTAGGCCCCACACAACTGTGACTTTCCATACTTCTTCATGTTCCAATATTTTTCTCACCCTGAAAGAGCCCTCTACCTCTGCAGCTCTTTCCATTTATTGGTTAAGTCTCCCCTAGAAGAAAAGTTCAAGGGGCAGCTAGGTGGTGCAGTGGATAAAGCTCTGGCCTTGAAGTCAGGAGGACCTGATTTCAAATCCTGTCTCAGACACATGACACTTACTAGCTGTGTGACCCTGGGCAAGTCACTTAACCCTGACTGCCTCACTAAAAAAAAAAAAAAAGGAAGAGTTCAAGTCAGCCATGCTCACTCCTTTATTAAAACTCCTTTGTCCAGACTCTTTGAACTTCCCTCCCTTTCCCCTCAATCCACTTCTTTACTCCTCTCCAGTCTTCCCTTCTGACTTTGGACTTCTCTTCCCCAATCCACCACATCCCCTTTGCAGTTCCCTTTTATGTTTTATCCTCCCCCAAGAGAATGTAAGCTCCTTGAGAGTAGGGGCTGTCTTTCTTTTTGCTTCTGTTTGTATTCCCAGTGCTTAGCAAGGTGCCTGGCATATAGCAAGTAAATGGGAGTTGACTTAACTTTTTGACTTGGTTGTATCCCTGGGATTTAAGAGAAGATGAGATTTAAGAGAGGACAGATTAGCTATCTTCCCGAAGGATAAGTAAATTTCTAAAAAAAAAAAATCATAGACTAATTCATAATCCTGATCCAAACTGGTAGTCAAACTAAAATTTCCCATTACTAAATTCTTGTCTTTACTAAAGGAATTAAGTTTATTAAAAACCAAAAAATATTTTTAAAAATATTCTTGGAAATATATTTTGGAAAATACCATTTGGGTCTTTGCCATATTATACAGAATTCTTTTTTATAGTTTTGTAAAAATTGAATTTAATTTGCAACGGGAAATGAAATCCAAATTTACTCGGGGGCTTTTGTGAGATGTGGAAAAGTTCATCTGCACAAAGCAGGAGAAATGAGTCATGACTGAGATGCATTTATGCCACATTAGAATACTCCCAGTTTTAAAGGCCACCTCCCAATGAAGGAATCATATAGCTAGAAATTATCTCCAGACCTCATCCAGCACACCCGCATAACCCTTTTTTCAAGCAATACTGCACCTACATCATTCAAAACACATGTTTGAATATTGTATTGTTAGTTACTCATTTTTAAAAAGGTTTCAAGTCCTTAGTACTGTGGTTCTAGATGAACAGTCATAAAGGTTAAGTCCTAAAAAGTTCAAAAATTATTTATTAAGTACCTTCTATTTAGATTAGATACCAGGAGAAATACAGAACAGTACACTGGCTTTAATCATAGGAAGTTTATAATATAACAGTATTTCACAGTTAAAAGAAAAAAAGTACCCTGAATTAATTAAAATTTGTGGATAGGAAAAAAAATGAAAGTCCAAGAATCTGAGCCCTGGAAGAGACCATGAGAGATGGATGAATGAAAGGGCAATTATGAAGTGCTTACTATGTAGCAAGCATTGTTTTAAGAGCTGGAAATGCAAATATGAAAACAAAGACAATTGCTATTTTTATGGGGTTTACCTTTGAATAGAGGTATACAACACACATAGAAGAATGGTGGCCAAAAAGCACACTTTGGTCTAGCTAAGTCACAGGAATGTTAAGAGAAGGTATGGGGGAGCAGACTGACACACTTCTTCCAAGAATATACAAAGCTGATTTGATTGTGGTTTATCTTTCCAGAAAGAAGCGGGGGAGGAAGAAGGAGGAAAAGACAATGGAATGGTTGGGGAGGTTATTGTGGAAGAAGTCACAGAAAAGGATGTAAAGTGGAGCATAGGTGGGGCTTTCCCCAGACAGTGGTCTGGAAGACAGTCATCAACCAGAAGAGAGAGAGAGAGAGAGAGAGAGAGAGAGAGAGAGAGAGAGAGAGAGAGAGAGAGAGAGAGACAGAGACAGAGACAGAGACACAGAGACACAGACACAGACACTCAAAATACAAGTTTATCCAGCCATGGTGGCTAGTCTCTGTCTGTAGACAGGCTGTTTAGAAGGTTATGGAGGAAGTGATTGGAAAGGAATGAATGAAATCCAGAAATATCTAAATCATTTAAGACAGAGTATCATTTCTTGGATTCCACTGGATGGGTAGTTTGCTTTCTTTTTTTTACATTATTATTGCCAAAGGTATCTGTATAGCAATCACAATTATAAAATTACCTCCCATTTTTATCACCTTGAATACAAAAATTCCTTCCCTACGTTCACGTGAAATTGTTTATGTCAATATGTTCTCATTCATTTCTCTTTAGACAAGAAAAACTGATTAATATCTTTCTTAGAAACAATCAACCAACGTTCATTCATCTGGGCTAAGTGGTACCAAATCCATTTACTTATTATTCTTCTTTTAATTATCTCTGTTACTCTTTTCTTGATCTCACTTTGATTTCCCCATATCCTTTTAAAATCATGGTTACCCACACTGATCTCAGTGTACAGTGGTGCTATAATGTCAAACACTTCTCAGAGCTTGCTTGACGTATTTCCTTTGAGTTATCCCAATATGTTGGCTCTTTTCAAAGTAGCCATATAATGCAGATTCAAATGCAGGTTGTTATCAGCTACAATCCTGAGGTCTTTATCTTCTTTTTACTTATGTTTAATCAATTCTTCTCTGTGCTATATCTGTCTTATCTATCTATCTATCTATCTATCTATCTATCTATCTATCTATCACCTCAAATTGGCCTCCTGAATCAATAACTGATTTGGATTTGATATTTCTTGCCTATTTGATGCATGGAAAAGCAGAACATGTGTAAATGTGGAAAATACAATAGAGGGAAGGAGAAGTATTCCCCAAATCATGAATTAATTACTGGTCATAAAAAAAGAAAAGAATAAGTAAAAACTAGGGCAAGCCTAATAAAATTTACTTACCAGAGTTAATGTGAACAAAAAAATATGTATCCACTATTATCTTCACCCTCTATTGATTTCCTCTTTCCTTGTTTTTCATGGCAATCCATGCCTGTGAATTAATCATGTCTGTTGAGGATTTGGAGGGAAGGGTAGCATAAGCTAATGTAGTTTGTTATTTTTTTGCCCGAGGAGGGGGGGCTAATAATAGTGTCTCTTGAATTGTCGAGAAATTCAATAACTATTGGACAATGAGCAACAGCATAATAACAGAATTCTGGGGTCACAGTATATCATACAGGAGACAATGAAAATAAATCTCACTCTCATCATCTCATTTATTTAACATATATGACACAGTTTGATTTCATAAGGGCACAGGGGTCATGTTTTCAGAGATAAATGGGAAAGTTCTTCAGGTATAATCTGATTGTTCCTCAGTGCTGCCATCCATATCTTGGGAAACTGCATTAAAAGGAAATGCTGGCATGGCCCTGGTGACAATTTTCATTTACCTTTTATGTCCTGGAAAACCACTGAAACAGATGTTTGTGGTAATAAGAATCATCTGAAGCAGAGGCCATATAATAATGTGGCGTTGCTTGGTGACTGGATCATCTGCAAACCACATTCTCATAATGAAGTCAGATTTTCTAAATCTAAAAGCTTCTTGCTCATGAACTCAAAGACAGCAACATTTATAGAAAACTTTGCTGTCCCTTTAATATACTGACCACTTTCAAAAAGCATACCTGGAAGGCTATAAAGATAATGATCATGCAGTATTGACCTCCAGTCACAAGGACAAAATGGAGGGCAGGAGCCCTTTCCTCCCCACTACCACCATTTGCTGCTATTTTCAGCCTTCTGCTGCCTGTACCATCCTCTTCTCCAAATTTCTTTTTTGTAGTAAAGTATGGGTATTTAGAACAAGACTCTAAATCTAGAGCATGGGGAAGTACAAACCTGCCCTCTTCTTTTGACTCTGAAGCTATCCCTACTCTTGCCATCATCTACTTTGGTTTTCCTCTATAGTGTCCCTACTCACCTACCTCCTTCCTTTCCTTTCCCTGTAGGACCCATCATTGAACCTCACCATTCTACCATATCCTTTACCTGCTGAAGCTATCTGTGGAGAAATCTCTTTCCCGCCACCTGGAAGATGGGAAGAGTCAAGGATAAGTCGTCTCTTTTCCAAAAAAGGGACAAAAATGAAGATGTAGGAACTATGGACACATTTTCCCACATAAATACTAAATTCTTATGTTTATGATATAGTAAATAGATCTTAAGATATCCTAAGTTCAGTGAAAATCATGAATGAGATAGTCCAATACAGTAACTTACAAAAATATCTTAGATTGAACAAAAAAGAAGCCCAGATCAAAACAAAGGTTATACCTACATAGAGCCAAAATTCCTAGAGGCAAAGTGAAAAAAGATCAGTCTGTGTTATATGGTGCTAGATATCTAGACATGTGTAAACAAGAGACTGACTGACTTTTTCACTTTTCAATCAAGTATTTGATATTGTGTTCACAGCCAATGAGTTCAATAAAGAATAAAGAGTGACTGTAGAACTGGGCAACTTGAATTAGAAAAGAGGCCCTGATACCTATTACTAATTACTGGTACTTATAATATAGGGCTTTAAGGCTTGTGAAATACTTTTCACAGATTATCTTATTTTGTGCCTCTAGTTCCTCACCCTTGAAGTAGGGATAATAATATTTGCACAATCTACGTGAAAGAGTTGTGAGGAAAGCTCTTTATAAAACTTTAAACGTGACATGTTCTTGAAAGCTAAAAATAACCACAGAAAAATGTTTTTTTCCAACACAAATTTCTCCTTTTCAAGTGACCATTTGAATCATTCAACCAAATTATTTAAATGAAGGCGGCTAGACCTTTAGATTCTATGGTAATGTGTCCTTTAGGAGAAATAAGATCAAACTACATACTGCTGAATCAATATAATATTTTTAAAATGGTTGTCCTCTGTGAATAAAATGTTTATTTTGTCCTTCCATATTCCTTACAGGTCAAGTTTTTATCCAAGATCCTATAACTTCAGCTAGATTGTTTTAGTCAACAACATTCAGATAGTGCTGTCTTCTGATATCATTAGTTTCCATGGAAACATTCTTAGAATGATACTGCTGGTTTGTAATAGGCACCATCTTCCCTTATCCATTCAAACTAAGTACAGGAAAAGCATACATTACATCTCACATCTCTCAACTGAACTATGTTGCCAGAAATATGACTATTCTTAAGGCCTTGTTACCTTTATCAGAAACTTTAGTGCCTACTGACACACAAATGACAGATTAAAAAAACCACCTTGCCCAATTAACCCTTATGCTATGGGACTGTGTCTTTCAGGGATGCAGTTACAAGTTTCACTGAGATTCTTACTTTAAAATATTAATATTTTTAAAACCCCAGCATTCTAGAAAAGAGAACTGGGGTATCTTAACAGATTGTGTGCATCAATAGTTTGTCATTATCAATTGTCTTTGGGGGGAAATAGTGAGTTCTTTACAAGAAAACAATTCTTACTTCTCTAGAAAAGAGGTTCTTAACCTGGTATCTGTAAACCTGTTTCCCTCTGACCCTCAAATTTTGATAATAATATTTCAACACAATTAATTTCCTTTGTAATCTTAGGTGTTTTATGAATTTAAAACATCATTCTGAGGTCTACAGGTTTCACCAGATGGCCAAAGGATTCCACGATACAAAAAAACAGGTTAAGAACCCACCCACTAGGAAGGAAAAAAGAGGAACTGGGCACAGACTATACGTGAAAGGTAACAATAAAACACATCATGTAATTTTATCTCTGTGAGAAGCAGCATGGCATAGTGGACACAGGACCAGATTTGAAGTCAAAACCATTTAGATTTAAGTCCTACTTCAGAAAGACACTGTCAGTGTGATGGTGGACCCAGAGTTGTCCATGACTTCAAATCTAGCCACAGACACTTACTAGCTACGTGATCTTGTCCAAGTCACTTAACCTCAGTTTGCCTCAGTTTCCTCAACTTCAAATTTAAGAAAATAATAGCACCTACTTCACAGGGCTGTTGCAAAGATCAAATGGGATATCTGTAAAGTGCTTAGCACAGAGCCTGACACAAAGTAGGAGGTATATAATGTTGGGGTTTTTCCCCCTATATGTAGCACCAGAGAATCTTGGTTCAAACCCTGCTTCTGCCACTTATTACCTGCATGATCCTGAACAACTCATTAACCCTTTCATTTATTTGTTTTTGCTGCAGTTTCTTTTTATGAAAAATGAAGAGATTGGGCTAGATGACCTTCAAGGTCACTTTCAGATCTAAATCATTTAACCTGTAGGTGACACAGGCAATTGGGAGATGGTGTAGTAGAGAAGAAAAAATCATTAGACTTTGAGCCAAAAGATCTCAGTTGATTCTCAACTGCTTTCCAAACTAGCTAGAGATAACTACTAACCTCTCTAAGTATCAGTTGCCTCATCTAGAAAGGAGGTGGTCGGAAAAGATTTCTAAAATTCTTTCCAGCTATGATACGTATGATTCTATAAAATCTGAATGTTGAAGAGTCTGCAACATGATGGATATCACACTGAGCTAAAATGACCATAGCCACACATTTTTTAATAGAGAAATTACTTTCCATAACTAGAGAAATTATGTAAAAAATATACTGACCTTTGGGGTCTGTGAACTAGAATATGATTTGGGGGGAGAGGAATGGCAATTGGAAATAAAGATCATTGGCTGGCAACATTTAAGTAGTGTTAAACATGAACTTTCACACAACATTTTAATCATTTTAAGTACCACATATTCTTGAGAAACACGTTCACAAACTTTCTGAGTATTCAACAGTGATCTGAGAAAAATTTTACCAAAATATATACATTTATCAGCGTAGATTTTTCCAACAGCAAGATGATATGTAGACGGAAAGAAACAAAAAAAAAGGAGCTACAGAAGCCTATAAACGTATGATGCTTTAGAATAAAATTTGGTAACGTTAATTCGTATCTTTAGTAATTGAAAGACTACATGGTGGAAACAATCTACCACTTAGTAGAAAATTATTAACAACAGTTTGACCCATAACCTTCAATCCAGCTGATCATTTGTCATCTCTATAAACAGCAGTGGGACTGAAGCGACTAATTGCACCATATATTTCAAAAATATTTAACCAAATGTTAAATGAAAGTTAAATACAGAAAGGTTTATTGATTTTTCTTCTACCCAGTTTGTTTAAATTTATAAGTTCTGTGGAACTGGGTAATTTCTTTACTCCAGAATGCTAATTACTTTATTTATATATACTTCAAAAGTTAAATTAAGGTGATATACATCACTTATAGAATGGGAGTAACATTAAAGGTAATTATAAAGCCGTTCTTAGATATCAGGAAGATCTGAGTTAAAATTCTACCTCTAACATATTCTATTCCTTCTAACTCACTATCTGCCATGGAGGTGGGAATTTCTAACTTGGGAATCCCCCAAACCAAGGAAATCATTGATCTGGACAAATCCACATAAACAAAAAAGAAATACAAACAACTCATGTCTCTACCATATTATGGTTAAAAAGAATTTGATATGCTACACACAAAGCCCAAATAATGACTCCATATTTAGAGGGGGGAAACAAGTGGGGAGACATTATTACAGTAATTTTATTCTAGTTTTGTATTACCATCATTGTCCAATATGAAAACTACTGAATAGATGAGATAGGAGCCTTTGTTCTTTCTAAGTATAAAAAAAAAAGCCAAAAAGGTACACTTGGGTCATTCAGAATTGTTTCTTGTTCAGTCTATTCAGTCGTGTCTGATACTCTGTGACCCCATTTAGGGTTTTCTTGATAAAGATACTGGAATGGTTTGCCATTTCCTCCTCCAGTTCATTGTGCAGATAAGGAAACTGAGGCAAACAGCATTAAGTGACTTGCTAGGTTCGCACAGCTAGTAAGTGTTTGAAGCCAGATTTTAATTCAGGAAGATGAGTCTTTCTGACTTCAAGCACCCTATCCACTGTATCACCTTGCAGCCTATTCAGAATTATAATTTGACTAAAAAGAGTACAACAAAACATGCTTCCATTCTAATACCATCAGTCTTTGATTACATAAATCATCTTTGGTATTGTGGTGTGAAATGACATCTGAGACTAAAGAAACCTCCTGATGGTTAATAAAAGAAACTTCCCTTAACCAAGTTCTATTCCATACTGAATTCAAATAAATTTATAACAAACATTTTCTCCATCTCAGCTTTATCTTATAAATATTATCTTTTGACAGTCTGAGAACCAACATATCTAAGAGGGTCACAGACTTAGCAGTATGACTAATTTCACATTCCCAAATAAAATTAATGATCTGAATTCTACCGCGTTTGTTGGTCCCTTCCAAAGCTTTTTAAAATGTTCAGATAGCTATTTTTTTCTAAAATACTTTTGCCTTTAAGTAAACAATCACACAAAATAAGATTGAGAAAGCTGGTATTTTAGGGTACCTTAAATTTTACAAAGTACTTTATGATTTGCAAGGTGCTTTACCTACAGTTAATCACATTTGATGCCTATATTATCTTTATTTTACAGGGACAGCTAGGTGACACAGTGGATAGAGTGCTGGGGTCTGGAGACAGGAAAATCTGAGTTCAAATCAAGCCTCAGACACTTACTAGCTGTGTGACTGTGGCCAAGTCACTTAAGCCTATTAGCCTCATTTTCCTCATCTGTAAAATGAACTGGAAAAGGAAATGGCAAACCACTCACTCTAGTATCTTTGCCAAGAAAATCCCAAAAAGGGGTCATGAAGAGTTGGATATGACATGACTGAAAACAGAGGAAAAACAACAACAATATTTAAACTCATCTTTTCTGATTCCAAATCTAGAGTTTTTCTACTACACCATACTGTCTCTTATAAGGAAAATATTAACCACCCAATGTGACCTGTCCAGTATCTAAATCGCTTTAATTCACAAAACCACATTTTGAAGATCCAATTTGTAATCAATGTCCCAAATTTTAACTGATCTCATTTAAGCTACGGTTACATTAGGCAAACGTATAGTAAATTACAATGCCCATTCATTTTACTTTTTAAAAAGTTATTTACATGATTAAACAATGAGAAGGAACAACACAATTTTATTTATTTAGAGCATTCTTTTTAAATTTTTTTTTATTTCCAAATTCTCTCTCAACTTCCTGCCCCCACCCCAATCCATTGAGAGGGCAAGCAATAGAATATAAATTATATATGTGAAGTTATATGAAACATACTTCCATATTAGCCGGGCTACCAAAAACTACAAAAATAGCAAGAAGCATAAAGAAAGTGAAAAAAGTACCCTTCAATCTGCACTCTAAGTTCATCAGATTTGTCTCTGGAGATGAATAGTATTTCTCATCACGCAACCTTTCGCACTGTCTCCGATCTTTGTCTTAATGAGAGTAGCTCAGTCTTTCACAGTTGATCATCCTTATATGTTCTCCTGACTTCACTTCTATCAATTCATTGTACCAATTCATATACATGTCTTCTCAAGCTTTTCTAAAACCATATTGCTCATTGTTTCTTACAACATAATAAGTACTTCATCACAATCCTACACCAAAACTTGTTCAGAAATTCCCCAATTGATGGGCATCCTTCAATGTCCAATTTTTTGTCAACACAAAAAGAGCTGTTATAAACATTTTTACACATGTAGGGTTCTTTTCCCTTTTCTGTAATCTCTTTAGGATATAGACCTAGTAGTGGTATTACTGAGTCACAGTTTTATAATGCTTTAGGCATAGTTCAAAAATGTTATGGTTGGAACAGTTCACAACTCTATCAAAAATGCAATAGTGTTCCTATTTTTCCACATCATTTTCCTTTTCTGTCATGTTAGACAATTTGATAGCTATGAAGTGGTACCTCAAAGT